AATAATTAAAATATATTTTTAATAAAGGGTTTAAATTAGGGTTATTAGGTTTTTTACCTTGGAAGGGGGGGTATAATTTTTTAAATATAATATAAATACCCGTAAAAGAATAATTTAATAGGAAAGAGGAGTTACGTGTAACGAACCTCTTTACAGAACCTCTGAAAGGGATACTGGTTAAAGGTAACTTTTAATAATTAATTCGGTGTAGTTAAATAGTGTACAATAAAATATCTTAATATAAACACTAGCTACCGTAAGTATAAACTTAAATTATATACTACGGAACTATCTATCTATACTAGCTAGTTCCTCCGTATATATAGACCTTAGGGCCGTAAGGTACTCGCCCTACTATAGGCCCGATTACTCCTAATATATTATATCCTATATTATACTCGTCGTACTATACCTTTAATTACTTTTAATATATTATATTTATATTATACTCGTCGTACTATACCTTTAATTATCTTTAGTATTTTATATTTTATAAATTACTCGTAAGCTTTAGCGCTATAATACTTTTATTTAACCCTAATCGGTTTATTCCTTAACTTTTTAAATAATTAATTAAAGGCGACTTACGCTTTATATATAACGCGACTTACCGTTAAATTAATTATAATATAATACTCTTTTTTTTAAGTTAACGCCCCGGTAATTATATTTTTAAAATAATTACCGATCCCTTTTTTTTCCGTATTTCTATTATAAATTCCTTTCCTTTTTTATTTTAATTATTATATTTAATTATATAAGGAAATCGATTTATATAAATATTAATTATTATTATAATTAAATATATTTTTTTAAAAAATTTAATTTTATTATACTTAAATATATTTATTATAAAAAAAATAATTTTTAATATATAGTTTCTTTTCGATACGACCGGTACTTTCCGTATATTAATTTAAATCGTTTTTATTATAATATTTATAGCGTAAATCGTAAGTTTTTTTTTTAACCTTCCCTTTCCTTTTTTAATTATCCCTATAGTCCGTCCTTTAATTAAAGAGAAAGAACGTTTAAATACCGAAAAGTAGGTTATTTTAAATAAACTTTTTTGTTTCGAAATATAATCGCGTATTTTTAAGGCTTAAGCCTTTACTACTTTCCGTCGCGAATCTCGGCTCTTTAAGGAGGAAGAAAGAGAGTTTTCCGCGCGGTTTACTACCCTATATAGTTCGCCGGCGGCGGACGCTTCCGCTATTCCTTCCGATCTTTCCTTTTTAAATCCTTCTTTAAGCTTTAACTAACTGCTTAACTTTTCTTTAGACCCGGGCATAGCCGATCCTTCCTTCCTAATCTCTTAAAATACCGCCGCTAATATACTTTTTATTTTCTAAAGTAATTAAAATATATAATATTATTTATATTTAATCCCTTTTATACTTTTTAATTTTATAATATAATATATAATATATTAATTATTACGTTAAAAATATAAATTCGATTCCTATTAAAATTCTTTAATCTCTATATTATTATTATTTAATAGTAATTTAAAAACTTATTTTTTTTATTTAGGTTTTAATCGGTTTAAATATTATTAATAAAATTTTTTTTATTTATTTAAATAATTAAAATATATTTATAATTCCTATAAATTTTTTATAGCCGGATATTTTAATTAATTAATTAAATATTTTAATTAATTTTTATTAAATTATAAATTTAATATTTTTTTTATATTATATTTTTTTTTTATTTTCCGTTATTACTTATATATTAACTTTATTTATTAATAATATAGATTTTAAAAGTAAAATATAAAAAATATATAATTATAAATATATTATATTAAGTAATTTTAATTCGAATATCGTTTTTAAGATTTTTTTTTTAATTTTAAATAGATTTACTTTCCTATAGTCTAGCTTTTTATTAAGTTTTTTAATACGTAAATTACGTATAAAAAGGAATATTATATTCCCTCCTTTAAAATAAAGTTTTTCGAGTTTTTTAATATTATAATATTTTTATATTTTTTCCTTTATAAACTTTAATTTTTATTTAAATTTATTATAAAATATATATAATTTATTTATTTTAACTTTAATTTTAAATATTTTAATATTAGGTCTTTACTATAAGTTTACTTTATATTTAAAGTTTATAAAAATAATATAATTTTAATTATTTTAATTAATAAT